TATTATCCCTTTGACATTTGAGTCACACAGAGAAGGAAACCTATTTTTGTGTAATGTTTATCGCAATAATGTACAATACATAGCTCTCTAGCTTTAGTGAGAGATGTGTTGTAATGACAATGATGAAAACAATGTGTGTTAGTATGACGTATTGGTATAGAAATTATGTTACCAAGGAGTTATCATTGGTTCTTGGATGGTTCCTCAATCAAAAGGTGCCAATGATAATGTTATTATTTCTCTAAATATCATTGATTGTGTATGCTTTTTAGGAGTAATATTATAATCACCCCTTAGGTGATGGAAATGGTATGTCATGCATGGGTTGTACATATTTATATATGATAATATTTTAAATAATATGTGTATTTATACCGCTCTGGATTCCATACAAAAGTGTATGCTCAATGTGCTACATACAAAGGTGATGGAAGTGCTACAAAACATAAAACATTTGTACATAATAAGGTTGAAACTTTTCAGGATATGTTTGTTAGACACAAATATGTGTATTTATGTCTGTCCTGAAACATTTACTTATTCGCATACATCTGTTCAGGATATCTGTTTATAAGACAAAGAATAAAGGCTCACACCCATAGCCTGTGTCTGGTCTTCTTCAGTACCAACACTATTTTCAGGTTATGAAAACAGAATGTAAGATCTGTCAATAAATAAGAAACACTGTAATGACCTCTAGTATTTTATTTGTTTTGCTAGACAAGAAATTCTTACAAGAAGGTTATGTATTGTTGTACTTTAGTCCGTCACCTCCACTTGTGCTCAATAGTCAAGTACTTACGAGGTGTTGAGGAATATGAGAGTTCTAACTGCCTACTTAATGGTGAAGTGTGGAGGCCAGTTCCACGTACTCAACTTGAGAGAGAGCTGCACTACAGGAGGAAGGTGAAAAATACTTTCTTTAATAATAAATCAACCATTGACTCAATTTACATGTTTCTCAAGTTCACATAATCTACATTATGGTGGCCATCATTGGTTCAAGAAAAGTTGTTACTCCTTTGTTTCAAACTTGTGGAATATGAGTGAGCCTTGAAGATCAGGGGTACATATTACACTTTCAATTTAATTGGGAATATTTGTTACAATCGAACTATGTATTTTCCTCATACTTTAATTATTTATTAAACTAAATGAATGTTAGCTTTAGGAACTCTCAGTTGCCTATGGACTTGGTTTAGTTCTGCATTGGTGCCCCTGCATTAGGCATTCACAATTGTAATTGGTGTGGAATCCAGTAAGGTTTGAAAATTCTCTATGGACTGCACTTTTAAATTCATCATTGAGCCGATCTGTCCAAATCAGAAACATGTTACTGAATTGTACCTGAGGGGAAGAGATTTTTTTTGTTCATCAACTGGGAGTGGAAAATCATTAACACTTGAGCTTGCATCGTGTTTAAACAAACAGCTGGGAAACACAACTGAAGCTACAGTGTTGGATGTGTCACCTCTAGTTGCCCAAATGAAGAACCTGACAGAGAAAGCCCTGTCAGTACAACTGAAAGCTATATACCTAAAAGAAGGTTGCTGACACAGGTATTTCTTCAGATGATGACAGTTTGATTTCAACAGTGGAGAGATTAAGTTAACATGACATGAAGCAACAAATTCATATATTTGTTTTCATTCCACTGATGTGATGGATTAAAACAGAATACCTAATGTTTTTTCCATGAACGATGGTATTTTAACTTTTGATTCATTCACAATATCAGTCCAGGAGAGCCTTAACAAACTGCCTGCATTCCATGTTTTTGAAAACTGAAAGATTCTCTTCACAGTGAATATCATATATTTCCTTGTTATGTGGGCACAGTGTCAGTTAAGATGTACTCCTGAAGTTCTTCACATCTTAAGAGGACATTGGATAGATGCTTGACATCAGGGCAAGTGAAGGCTGATGTCAGGGCATGTAGGACCGTTCTCTGGAGTCCATCAAAATGTACGATTGAAACCTGTAATGAACAGAACAAGCCATTAGTCCTTTAGTAAGGTTTGATTGTTGAAATTAAGGTATTGTTGTGGAATCCATTTGAATTTCCTGCTTTTTGGAAATATATTTTGCTTTATACCTGCGACTAAATATCATTGTACACCTGAATGCATCATACCAATTAACGAAGCCATAAATATATACAGGTACCATGACATGATGCTGTCAGCTTCTATTCATAATTCCTACATGAACCATGTGACTATGAGTCCTTGCATGACTGCATTATAAAGGATGCAGTCTCAAATGAGACTGGCAGTTCAGTGATGCAGAACGGGTGACCCAGTGAGTTCAAGGTCATGCTCTGTGCACATGTCTAGCTACAGGAAAGCTGATCCTGTGTGAGTCAGCCCAGGACACAGGGATGGGAGGAGAGTGTTCTATAGCTGTACTTTGTTATGTGAATTGATCTTATACAATACAGGATTGAAATGTGAACATTCCTGGGAACTTTAAGAGGAAAAACAGGTTTTGAATTGTTGATGACACACGGCGGATATAAGATGTGAGAATTCAGAAACTGTACAAGTACGGATAATGGGATACGATGACATGTTATTGACTATGTAGATCCCTTAAGCAACAATAGATGTGAAACTAGTCTCAGTTGACTGAGCAACAAGTTTACCCTATAGAAGATTATGTAGCATTGTTGATACTATTTGTCCACTTTTACAATCTGCAGTTTGCCTCATGGCTCCTCAGTGCACTTGTTTTCTGTTCTCAGTTGAATACCATACTTGCTGTAATAATCACTGTGAACGCATACAAAATGAACAAAGGGGATGTCTGTAAATGCCACACACCAAGTTAAAGGCAATAAGGCACGGCAGTACATATGCATAATGACACTCTAACAGTTTAAAATAAGTTTATTTTGCATCAGAATTCACTTCCAAATTATCATCATGTCAGACTCATTTTGTGTTGACTTTGCTAGTTCATCAGTCAACAAAAGTATCTGTATGATGGGGTTTGGGAGATCAAACTTCAAAGGTTATAAGTTATCCTCCATCAACTTTCCACAAAACTTCGAAAGCTGAGGACCACCTAATTCAATCTGTAGTTGCCTGTTGTGTTATTGATTATTTGTTGAGGTTGAAATGTTAGACAAAGTCATTTTGTGTCAGTTCAAGGTCTACATCAAAACAGACTTGTTTGATGTTGGAAATAAAACTGGATTGAAGGAGGATTGGGTTCATGGAAAATGAATGTCTCTTCTACCAAAGCACTACTCCGGCAATTATTGTAACCAGTTTATTGTAGGAAGAAAGCTGAAGACTGGTCCAGCGCTAGAGATTCCTTAGTGTCTGTGAAAATAGTTTGTAGGACTAAATTTTTCCACTTCCTTATATGGCTGTTTTGGGATTAAACAGGTTGTAACCTGTTTATTGTAGGAAGAAAGCTGAAGACTGGTCCAACGCTAGAGATTCCTTAGTGTCTGTGAAGATAGTTTATAAGACTAAATTTTTCCACTTCCTTACATAGCTGTTCTGGGATTAAAGGTAATTTTAAAGGGTTTCAGGCATTTTTTTAATGATTGAAAAGGCTTCATTTTGAGGACATAACTTTTGGTTTTTCAGAAACATTGAAGATAGATATTACCACAAGGCTATGTTAAACCTGCAAACCATGAGATAATATGATATAAGAGTGGTTGGGTAACAGCAAATGTTGAAGACTTTAACATTCTTCAAAGTAACTTACATATTGCCAAATCTGAACACAACCACATAGTGTTTTCTTGATTCACCAGAGTCACTTTGAACACATTTTAATCTGAGGCAATCACAAGAGTACTCTCCAGTTTGAAACAGTGCATATTAAACTATTACCATAGCTCTCACATTCTTTGGGAGGAACCCATGAAGGTCTGGGTTAGAATTGATTTTCAGTTACCCATGCTTGTCGTAAGATGCAACTAATGGGATCATGAGGTCAGACTCGCTTGCTTGGTTGACACATGTCATCGGTTCCCAATTGCGCAGATTGATGCACATGATGTTGATCACTGGATTGTCTGGTCCAGACTCGATTATTTACAGACCTCTGCATGGCTGGAATATTGCTGAGAGTGGCGTTAAACTTCACTCACTCACTCACTCTTTGGGAGGAGCGAACTGACAGAAGAAATGAAACACAAGGTGATTGAGATTCAGACTTGGAGTGGTGTTGAAGCAAATGGTGAAATGCAGTCCAACTGGATACACACTCATATTTTGTATGCCTCTAGTTCCAAGTACTTTCACATATACTATACATGATTTTGCATTCCACTTGAAAGGTGTTTCAGTTGTCATGGAAACATTGGCGACATTTCTTCATCCCATAGTGACAGTTGTTTCTTCTGATATCTGGTTATGACATTACATATTATTTATTTACCTTAATTGCATCATGTTTCTATAATTTGTATTTGTTTTTATATTAGCTTTGCTTAAGCTGTGACAAAATAGCTTGTGAATGATCAAGTCTTGACTGAGTCGTGTTACCAAGAAACACATCATCTAACATGTTTAACAATCCCTATGTTGCAGACTATCTAATGAAGAAAGACATTCCATAGTTTTATCTTCTTTATATCCATAGAAGACTGCCTATCAAAGAAATATGACTATATAATGAAGAAAGACATTCCCTAGTTTTATCTCTGTTACAGACTGAAGAATGATGAAACTTATGGATATACAACTTCTTTATATCCATAAGTATCATCATTCTTCATCACCTCAACTTCTAAAGTGCCTATCAAAGAAATATTCCAGACTATATAATGAAGAAAGACATTCCGTAGTTTTATTTCTGTTACAGGGCAGTGGGGTAGCCTAGTGGTTAAGGCGTTAACTCATCACGCTGAAGACCCGCGATCAATTCCCCACATGGGTACAATGTGTGAGGCCTATTTCTGGTGTCCCCTACCGTGATATTGCTGGAATATTGCTAAAAGCACCATTAAAACTACACTCACTTACTCTATGTTACAGACTATCTGCTGAAGACAGACTTGACTATAATCAGTGGATTACATTCTCACCTGGAGGCTCTGATGCATATCAGATCTAACGACCTGCCGAAACAGGTGAGTGTTATGAGTCTTAGGAATGATAACATCTAACTGTTTAACATCAACATTTCGTGTTTTGATATCTGACATGATACAAAAACATAATAAAACTCTGCCTTTGGGATCTGATTGTGTTCAGTCAGCTGACTGTCATGCGATAGATTGATGCATCCAGCCTCAGTGCTACAGATTGCTGGGGTAGCCCATGCCTGTGAATACTTGGAAATATATGCTATGTGTTTCTAACTAACAGTTTTGCACACCCAAGTTAAGCCCCATCCATTTGACACTGCAATAATATGGCCCCAGGATTGTGATGTAATTGTAAGAGAATTCAGCATGTCAGACAGTGTGCTCTTGTCAACACCCAAATGTTGTGGTAAAGAAAAGCCTAAAGGTCACATGCAACCAAAAAATGAAACAAAATTAAAACACAATTATCACTTATTCATGACATATAATATACATTGCTGATTTTGAAAAAAACATATAAACAAAATTATAAGCGTACAATCGCAAATCAAGAGTGCAATATTTTGTACTTGGGTTTACTTCCCTAGAAACGAAGCAGCCGAGATACCGAACCCAGTCAGAGTGGGTGGGTGTGCACTCAAGTGTAACGGCTGGTTCATTTGCAGATGCCCTCACGGCTCATTGTGTGTGTATATATAGAGATGTTGGGTTTTGTAAATACATGCTCATTTTTTGTGTATAACATTTTGCAATCAACAAACATCATCATATCTATATCACAGTTAGAAATTCTGTCAACGCTAAATAATGACATTGCTTTTAAGTATCGAACTGAGAAAGTTCGGTAAGAAGAACGTGTGGTGAAGTAGACAAATGAAATTATATAAACAGTTAAATCGGTAATCTACTGTCATAACATATAAAAAGCTCGCACCTGTTAAATATCAACAAAACCTTAGAAAAATAGCTCACACCAAAGCCTTCACGAGTATTCACCGGACAACCCGCTTCCAAGCTGCGCGAACCTATTTCACTGCGCATGTGCTATGAGCGCAGCCCAGCTGTTGAAACCACTTTTCCCCCAAGCGCTTGGGGATAATTAGTGAATCGTTTGAACTCCGATTTCACGCGGGGGTTTTTCATTGCGTTATTGTTCAACTTTATAAGTTGAATTTGCATTTTTGATGATTTGTTTCGGTAAGTCCATACCGAAAGGTATTAGAATCTGCAAAGTTGTGTTTTACGTTGCATGTGACCTCTAAGGGTGCCCAAGAGTCACATGGGTTCCAACACTAACCAATGCCTGGGCCCATACATATCCTCCATCCATATGGCTGGCAACAATCTGTGTGTTGTGTTGCAGATCACCATCAGCTATTCTCAGTACAATGACAAGATGAACGTCATCAGCCTCCCTGGCTTCAGTGAACAGGAAGATCCCACCAGGTAAGTAGAGCCAATATTTTCAGTCTATTCACTATTGGTCTGAGTAGTTTCATCATCCACTGATTGAGTGGTTGAATATGAAAATGATAATGCTATAACTTGTGTATGTCTTGCCTTTCTTCTATCAACACACTGGGATAGAACTGAAATACTGTTGCAGTCCATTTGTCTCCAATTGAGAACAATGAATTGCAAAATATTTCAGAATTGGGAATAGTCTATCAAATGTCAACACAGTATTAATAACTGATGGGTATCGTGTGTTCATTGATGTGTAAAATATGGCATTTAATAGCCTTCCCAATTTTTAGTAATTTCGCAATTCATTGTTTTCATTTGGAGACAAACTGACTATAGAAACTGTTTAAACCTGCTCAATCACCCATTCTAGTTTAAATTCTTCACAGTTATATTTGCTACGACAATTAACTATTGAAGGAAATGTTTTGTTGTGATGGATGTGCATTGAAATTCTCATATGCTTTTACTCAACCTGCATAAACAAGTAACCCCTTTTGTTTTCAGGTTCCTGTCATTCCATTGTCACCTGTTTCCAACATTCAGAGAATGTAAACACATGCCTTCATGATACTGATTGGACAGTAGAGTGGATGATGTGATATAAGGCAACTGCTGATTGGTCAACTACATCCAAGGTGCAATAAGGCAGCAAACATCACTCTGGGTCCAGTGAAGTCTGTGAATAGCAACCACCAACTGTGATATTAGAGGGAGATAACTCTGTCCAAAGTCTCCACACCATACAAGGGCAATGATTGGGACCAATAGTGGGAACATACATCCTGATTATGAAACCAAAGCTACAGTAAACCATTAGATATTTCAGCTTGCTATTCAGATCAATCTAGAGGGGAAATGGGGCCTTTGGTGATTGGGGATTTATTATTTTTAAAATTTGTGTTAATTCATTTTTTTAATGCTGGCAAGTTTGACTTAAATGCAGTGCATTTTTCCAGAGCAGAGCTCCAAAACTGTTGAACATGTGTCGATGACAGTTACTATGCAGATCAGTCTAGTTGTAGACTGGTTTGAGTTGAAGATTTGGGATATTTAAAAGAAATGAATAGCATTATTCACTGAGCTGAAGGTATCCAATTGCAATTAACCAAAAGTGGGTATAACTGACTGGTATGACTTAGTTTCCATCTTGCCCCAGACAGGGTGATCATGTCTGCTCCTGATGTCTTTTGTATTCATACTCCAGACGTGAAAAAAACTAACTTTAGTCTTCCAACTGTGTTCAATGATTGCAATTTTGGCTTCTGAAGTCAAAGTAATGAATATTCATCATACCATCGGACGGAATCATCATACCCAAAGATAAATGATCTGTTCTGGAGTTCACATCATAATCATCATACCTAGATTGGGAGACCTATTCTTTCCACACCAGGTCTGCAGCTGCATGTATTTGTGAAACAATTCACTCAGAACAGAACCTGGTTTTGAAGCTGCCGACATATGATCTATAAGCAACGTTCCCTACAATGTACTAGTAGTATGTTCAGTTCTCTGTTCAGTTTTCACTGAAATATCTGTTCCTGAAATGTATTTTGTTATAAACTGGGACCAATATTGTTTATAATGTTTCAGATTTGTTATTATGTACATGTTTGTTGTCATCACAGTTCACAGTGTTTATTTTACAACAAAGATAGGTATCATTCCAAATCTTTAAAGTATTTTCGATATTGTTTGTAATGATCTCTTTGTGCCAATAACTTTCCCACCTTACGGGGATCAGTTCTTCCATTTGATAGTACTGTACCTCAATATTGCTTCCTTACCTCTGCTTAACAATAAAGAAACACAATGCTTTAGAATTTCCTAATGAAATCATACTGAAATGTGTCAAGTTTGGAGGGTATTTCATTGGCTCAAATCTTCTTAGACTGTCTACCTTTTGCATGGAAATATGATATGGACAAATTTGCAAGACATTTTGCACAAACTGTTTGAAAATCAAATGCTTATTAAAGAGTGTGTTATGTACACCATGTTTACTGATGACCCACAGTAGGAACTTCCTACTGCTCAATCAAAGTATTTTTATACATTGAATAAGGTGTATTTTTACTTTTATAGGCGATCTAGAGGAAGGTTCTTTGCTTGCTGATGATAAATGACACATATGACATTCAGATAACAAAAGTTTTACTGTTTGGATTATTAAAGAATATAGCACTCCAGAGAATATGTTGAGAATTGAGATGTCTGTCCTACTAAGCATTAAATGTTTCAAGTCCTGAAAGAAACAAGAAACTCTCTTCCAGATATTTCCACATTGGGGGAAAACACCAAAGAATAAATAATCAGTTTGTTTTAATCGTAGTATTGACACCGAGTCCTATACAGGAGGACGTGAAACTCACAATCCCACTTTTTGTTGTACCCAGCGTACACTGGTGTGAGTTAGGATGTGACATGGCTACCAGTATTGTTTGCTCCACAGCAATCATGGCAATGTGTTCAAACTGTATCAGTTACAGTGTGCTGTATGTGGACATATGACTGTTCTTGTTAACTGTGATTTAGTATACGTTAGCCCCTTTATTGAAGTTAAGCTGGTATATTTAGTCCAGTATTTCAGCAAATGTTGTTTGCTGTCTATGTTTTGTACATATATCTGTTCTAGTTAGACCAAGCCATTGTGTATATTACCTCTCTCTCTTACCACAGAGATATTCAGAGAAGAAAATTGGCACTTTTCCCTCCTCTGGAACTGGTTTTCTTCTTGTCACTATTGTTTTCCTATGAATGTGAACAAAATAATGGAAATGCGATTCTGGATGTATTTAGAAAACTTTTAGATTCTGAAAACTTCAGGTGACCCACTGGTTGGTGGAAGTTGCTGCAGTTGTGTTGTGCAGAGTTGTCCCCCCTGGTAATGTCCAGAGAGTTTTCTTTTGCTTTCAGCTGATGCTTCTAACACTAAATTAAGCATTAAGCATGAAACTCCCTTGCTACTGCCATATGTCTAAGTATACCAATGTTTTTAATCATTCTATTTTGCACTTCACAACCAGCTTATTCCATCAAACAATAGTTCCTGGTTCTCTGAATTTTGAGACAATTTTTGTGTGTCAAAGAAATCTTTAGAACCTTTGTACATGTATATAAGAAACCACAGAATATTTTGTCCTGTTCCTAAGTACTTTGCTTTTTAGTATTACTAAACTGGATTTTAGTATGACACTACATAAATATTCCTCATCAGCAAATGGAAAATGAAAATGTTCAAACAGGTTGGAGTTTTTTAAATTAAAAGATGTTCAACTTCTGTGCTCAGTTTGAATTTTCCAAACATTTTATGTGAATATTGTGATTACTGGGAGAAGGCCCTACACCACTATCACACCTAGTATTTCTTCTTTGTATTTGTGCTGCATGTTTTTCTCTTTATTCATTAATTGTTTTTAATGACTGTTTAAATTTCAGTATTTGAATGTAGATTTGTTGTACCTAATATGCTCAATAAAGGTACAATGGAGAGTTAAGAAATCTAAGGTTATTCATGCTTAAATATAAGCCAGTCTCTGTTTTACAATATTTACATATAATGAGCCATTATTACTGTTATTCAAATGTTTACAAAAATCAACAGATGTCTATTATGTCTTGTATTAATTTTTCAGACATTGAAATCAATATTATGACTGCAAAGTGTTTAACTCAGCCAGTGATCAAATTAAGGCAGCCAATGATCAAGTTATAATGGCCAATGATCAAAACTGATCAAGATCAAATTAACATGACCAAAGATTGAGGTGAACCGTTTTGTTTGTCAGTATGTTGTTGATAATACATTGCTAAGCACTGAGAAAGTGTAATCCCAAGTATAGCATTTGTTGCATTTGACCACTTTCTAAAAAGCCATTGTGTTTTTGTATTGATTTAGCTTTATATTTCAGGTCTGGTACACTGTCTCATATGTATATTTTTTATACATTTCTTTGAAAATACTAAATTATCACCATTAACATTTTTGCAGTGGTCATATTCTATATGGTGAGACTGCTGGCCCTTTATGATGATAAGCAAAATTAAGCACATTACAGATATGTTATTGTACTTGATCTCGCTGTCAAGTTACTGTGAACGATGTATGAGCAGATTAATTCACTCTTGTAACAGTTGTAACTTGATTGTTACAGCAAATGTTGCCAAGTTTTTTACTTCAACCTTTGACAAAATCTAATAATTCAGTTGAATTTGCACATTTGCCTTACGTACTTATTTAACTGCTGAAATATTTGCTGCAATCATAAATATTATCATGATATTAAGTTTCAATTTGCACTTATCTGCACTTGATGTTCAGAAGAGATGATAGGGACACCTGGTACTAATGCATGTCACACTGAGTGTCCACGTGGGTGCAGTGTGTCTGCTTCACGCCATTATTGGCCCACCGGAATATTGCTAAAAGCCATGCTCTCTCTCAAAATTACAGAATGTCTTCCTTTCTGATTATGTTCCACATCCTTAGCCAGATCTCAATGTAGGCCAAACCCGGCATAATGAACTTGTCTTTAGGGTGTAGACTTGATGTTGTAAACATGTGTCAGCCTGTGCCATGAAGTTTTACAGACCTGTTGATGGTACATGTGTAAAACTATACATGTCCACAATCACAAGTGCCTTTTGTAAAATAGACTGCAGCTTCAAGCTGCTATCAATACTGTTATTGATCCATTCCCTGAGATTCTATGTCTGTGTATATAATGTAAAGACATTGTCGAATATTTTTGTATTTTATCACATTTTATCATCATGTACCCATCTGTCTCATCCTTATAACAACCGTGAGTATCCTGTACAAAACGTTGTTGCAGTGCTATCACTTTCATTTCACAGCCATTACATATTGTTTTATTGTGGTATGTATTTTAAAAGAACTTATCAAATTTCTCATTTCTCATTAAATCATCCAAGTGCATAGAACTTCAAATAAGATCTCTGCTGGAAATATTTACTTCATGTCCGTTGAAGGAATGCAGTGGGGGCTCAGAATAAGACCAACTGACATTCATGATTGGTCGTGAACATCCAAATGAAAGTTGACTTTCATCACAAACTGGGATTCAGTATAGGAAACTTCTGAAATTGATGATGCAAGATGTAAGAGAAGTAAAACATTGCCTGTCTCTACTAGAGGATAGGAAGGGTATTATGCTGCCTCTATGCACCTCATTGTGTTGGGGCGACTATCTTGTCGTAAGAGGCGACTAACGGGATCGGGTGGTCAGTTTCGCTGACTTGGTTGACACATGTCATCGGTTCCCAATTGCGCAGATCGATGCTCATGCTGTTGATCACTGGATTGTCTGGTCCAGACTCGATTATTTACAGACCGCCGCCATATAGCTGGAATATTGCTGAGTGCGGCGTAAAACTAAACTCACTCACTCATTGTGTTGGGGCTCATGTGAAGGATCTTCTTGGTATCTTGTAGCTGGTTTGCAGGTGGCTTGTAAAGTATGCTGAATTGATCTGCCTTTCCTGAACACAACATATATGATGGCTTTAAAATGAAACATACAACTTTATGGATGACAACTTCTTGTCTGTTGCATAGAGCTACGTTTCGATGTAGATTCTTACATCGTTATCAAGCTTAAAGTATACAGTATAATGAATTACTAATAGTTGTTGTGATAACAGATAATGGTATTAAGCCAGATGGACAAAGGGTAGGGCCTGCTTAGTCTTGATTGGCCTCGATTAGACGATGGTAAGCTGTAGGGATGTAATAACCTTTATCTCTGTTAAATGTTGAGTTGAGAGATTGAGGTTAAAGGAAATTCTGCTGTCCAAACTCGGCTCATCTGGGACAGAAATGAACTGAAGTTGTTCCAAACTGTTAAACTGGTTATTTACAACAGTATTCTTTGATATTATATTTTTGTTATGCCTGTATAAATATGTGTCCTATCATAAATATGTTCAGACATATGGAAACACTACAACAGTAGCCATTCCTGGTGTTTTTATATACAAGTTTCATCTGAAATTCCATTTGTTTTTAAATCATGACTCCTTTGTTGCCGGGCTCTTTGATAGGGATCATCTTGTTTTAGATCTTCATAATTCAGAAACCACATTCAGGAGATGTTAGAATGTATATTATCTGTTATATATGAATAAAAGAAATATAACATACATTGATATTCTGCTCAGTGTTTTTAGATAAATGAAGCCATCTACCTTGGTTTATCTATGGATTTACTGATTGATATTATGTTAATGGCAAAGTCATCAGTCTTACCAAGGACGTATATTCACAGGATTGGAAGCCTTAGGCGATGTGCGCTGTGTAAGCTGACCGTGTTCATTGATAGCATAGCGTGCAGCCACCCCTATTGCGGCAAATGAGCGTGTCACACATCAGAGCGAGACTGTCAGTGGAGGCTTCCAATCCTGTGTATATACGTCTTTGGTCTTGCTATATTTCTGTATCATGGTGGACCATACATCACACATGGACCAGGCAAGCCAGTGATTGATAACAACCAACAGTCCAGTTTAACAGTACATGTTCATATACAACGATCCAGAGCTCATCCACAAAGTGATGGCAGCTCTACGACTGTCATGAGTCTGTTAAAGTATGGGAGCTACGATCACCCTAGACCTGCAACTGTTCTGTGGAACATGGCCAAACAAAATTTCAATCATTCAGGTCTTGTCTGGAGAGCAGAAGGTCAGTGGTTTTCAATCCTGTCAGCATCATGCCCAGAGGGTATACATATTTGTTACCCTGCCAGGCACTCGACAGTCTGCATCACACCAAAACATGCAGGCGGTATATGTACTTGTTACCCTGCTGGGCACTCGGCAGTCAGCGTCACACCAAAACATGCATGCGGTATACGTACTTGTTACCCTGCCAGGCAGTCAGCATCACACCAAAACATGCAGACGGTATGCGTACTTGTTACCCTGCTGGGCACTCGGCAGTCAGCATCACACCAAAACATGCAGGCGGTATACGTACTTCCCAGATAGCAAAGGTGTGTTGGGCCAATGTTGGTATATGGTTGGTTGGTTGGCCAACAGTTTGACAACATTGGCCCAACGTTATCTTAATGACTTGAAAGTAACGGTGGCTTTTGACACGTTGTTCCAACAGTGGGCCAACATTTGAAAAACTCTGCCTATTTTCCCTGATCGTACATCTATTTCACAAAGTTGGGCCACCGTTGACCCAACATTGTGAATAAAAGAGTGAGCACACGTCCATTTTTAGCCATGTTTTCTTATTAAGATTTTGATGAAAGTTGAAATAATTACACAGACAAAAAGAAAGAATCCATTTCCCTGTCTTTCAACTATGATGCAGCAAATTTTACAGCGTTGTTTTCTCCAAATTGAATACCACACTTGTCATCATTGATAGCTTTACCTGATATTGAAGGAGCAGACGACACTACATTTCTGGAGGCTGGTAAATATGCATTGTTATTTCTGTGATACTGAATTGCGAATATATTGTGAAATAATTAATTTAAATCATCATTTAGGCTAAAGAAACTGGCACATACCGTATTGAAAGGCAATTGATTGAGTAGATAAAAGATTTAATTGACTCTTTTCTTTAGGTAGCCTGTTTTAACCACTTCGATAAATCTCATTTCATTTTAAATTATTTAAATTTATTGTGTTTACTTTATTAACATTATGTGTTTGTCAGTTACACTCCTGTTTCCATATACAACTCTCTATTATGCATCTTTACAACCAATAATTGCTAAACATCATCATATCAGATATATGTGTCCCATTTATAGTAGTTACATGTCATATCCAAATAAAACATTGTTTGAACAGCATTCTAGAAGTTGGTGAGTCAAAATGAAACATACAACTCTATGGATGACAACTTCTTCTTTATTGTATAGAGCGACGTTTCGATGTAGATTCTTACACCGTTATCAAGCTAAAAGTGACTACAACCAAATGATTAGAAGTATATATATGTACATAGTATGTTTTGTCAAATAAACATAATTGGGAGCGGCCAGTTGGGGACTAAGAACAACAAATGGATCTAGTGATGAAACCAATTAATAAGGAAGGGAGGAGGGGTGGGGTGTTAGGTTGTAACAACCTGATAGGGTGATTTGATAGAGTCTATAGTTTGATTTGTATGTATCCCAATGGTATGTAGTATCCTTGGTCTCTATTGATCAAAGGTTTGTGGCGGCTGATTGTGATGGCTTCCAAAAATGTTCTTTTTGTGAAGTCCAGATTCTTGGTGGATAAGATTTCAAATTTGTCAAACCAGCCCCCTAAAGCTAAGTTTGGCGTCATCTAAACCCTGATCAAGCACGCTAAGAACATTTGCTCCAGCAGCCATGACCTAGAACATGAGCGGAACCACCTACAACATGTCTTCACGAGCCTCAACCAGTAACCCACCAACACATAGTCTGTTTGATTTCATTTGAGACCAATGAATTGCTCGCTATCACAAAATCTAATAATTGCAACAAAACCAAATTTTGCAGTCACATGATAACGACAGACCAATGAAGAACTAATCAAACTATAGCCTCTATCAAAGCACCCTATCAGCTTGTTGTTACAACTGAATCCCCCCTTGTTTAATGGCTTCATCGCCAGTTCCATGTGTTGTTCTTAGTCCCCATCTGGCCTCTCCCAGTAATGTACCAGTTGTTATTCAATTACATGTTGTTGTTAATGTCAATGTGCTGATTGTCAAAACATACTATGCATATATACTTCTCATCATTTGCTTTTAGCTTGATAACAGTGTAAGAATCTACATCCGAATGTCACTCTGTGCAATAAACAAGAAGTTTTCAATCATTAAGTTGTATGTTTCAAATAAAACATAAGGTCAAATACTATGTCCTTTTACGATAGTTCTCATGTCTAAAATAATGATATCTGACAGTTTCATGAAATTTTTGGGTTGTTTTTTTTCAGGAGCAGTTCGAAAAACCTGTCAGCGGCGAGAGCCAAAAACACAGACAAGAATATTTTCAAGAAATTCAATAATGTTCAAATAACAATGAAAAAAAGAATTAAACAGTTCACTTGATTAACTTGTTGTGTTGTTTATATATGTTTCTGATTGCAGAGGTCAGGAAAGAGCTAAATGTTGAAATACAGTTGTGCCAACATAAGGCCAATTAAGTCACATCGTTGGGCCAAGTATGGGCCATGGTTTAGTACAAAGGTCAAGAAAGAGCTAAATGTTGAAACATGGTGGGGCCAACAAAATCACTACATTGGGCCAACTATGGGCCATGTTTTTGTGGCCATTGGCCCAACAATGAGCCAATATGATGGGCCACTGTGGAGCCGATGAGCATATCCAAGTGGGCCCATCGTCAGTTTGCCAACCATGGGCCAACCAAACTGGTGTTTATGGGCCAACTATGGGCCAACATACCAATGCTATCTGGGTTGTTACCCTGCTGGGCAGTCAGCATGACACCAAAACATGCAGACAGTATGTGTACTTGTTACCCTGCTGGGCACTCGGCAGTCAGCATCATACCAAAACTTCAGACGGTATACGTACTTGTTACCCTGCCAGGCAGTCAGCATCACACCAAAACATGGAGACAGTATGCGTACTTGTTACCCTGCTGGGCCCTCGGCAGTCAGCATCACACCAAAACATGCAGGCGGTATACGTACTTGTTACCCTGCTGGGCAGTCAGCATCACACCAAAACATGCAGACGGTATGCGTACTTGTTACCCTGCTGGGCACTCGGCAGTCAGCATCATACCAAAACATGCAGACGGTATACGTACTTGTTGCCCTGCCAGGCAGTCAGCGTCACACCAAAACATGGAGACGGTATGCGTACTTGTTACCCTGCTGGGCACTCGGCAGTCAGCAT